TTAAAAACTATAAAAGAATAAAACAACAACAAAAAGCAACCTAAAGAAAAAAACTAGCCCACCCAACCTCATCCCGGTCTCATCGTCCCCCGCTCCAATCCTAACCCCCATCCCCTAGCCACGTCCACCTTAACAGACCCCATAAGTAAACCTACCACCCCCTTCACACAAACCCATCTTATCCTTGTCTCCCTTTCTCTCTCTCTCTCTCTCTCTCTCTCTCCCTTCAGCCTTCAATTTCCTAAATAGAGAATTTCCAATCACCATCTCCATCAAAACCATCACATGAAAAACCACCATGGCTAGCCGACCCGACGAGATCAAAGAAATAGGGGGATGCGGATGCTCTTTAATTGCTCTTTAATTTAATCCAATTAGCTTTCCACTTTGTGAACTTCATGGATTCCTTCAAAGCACAAGACTTTCTAGGTGCTTCTCTGGGCCCACCGTTCCATGTTAGGACTCAATATCCTACATTGGAAAAATAACATATCCTAGAGTGTTTTAAGATCTCATGGGCACCCTTCCTTTACAAGCCGGTTTTTAGGGGCAAGTTCTATTATGGGCTCTTAACATTTGGTAGTATGGCTTCACCACGTAACTAGGCCCAAATTCACTGAAAGGGCAACATGTAGGCTAGATTAAAAATGATCGATGTCATGTATGGCATGATTTCGAGTCATTGAATATGATAGGTGAGTAAAGCCGCCTCAAACGAAGGAAAGGGTTACCATCAGGTCAGTGTCGGCAGAGTGGGCCAACGAGGACGTTGGCTATGGAAGCGTGGAATGTTAGGACTCAAGATCCCACATTAGAAAAATAGCATATCCTAGAATGGCTCAAGAGCTCATGGGCACCCTTCACTTACAAGCCGATTTTTAGGGGCATGTTCTACCCATGGGCTCTTAACATTCTAATACCGATTTCGAGCTTACTCGAGTTGGATAACTTGGATTCACATATTATAATGGTGGCCTCCTTCTACATGTTAGCTTATTTTACCGATCATGCTCGTTTGTTACAAAGCCCTAGGGTATGGGTTTGTTTGAAGAGAGAAAGAGGGAAGAGAGATAAAGGGAGAGAGGATGAGAGGACATAAGGAGGGAGGGGAAGAGAGGGTGGGGTGCGGGGATGAGAAGATGAGGCGATGGTTATTGCGCTGGGGACTGGGAGGTGGGAAATGGAGAGAGGATTTTTTTCTTTTGATTTTAGTTTTTAATTTATTTAGTATTTTATTTAACTAGACTATTTCAACTCTATATTTGACGACAACAGACAGAATATAACGGTAAGATCAATGCACCGATTAATAAAGAGTTGGTGGATCATTTGAATGAATAATTTAGTTGATGGACCAAAATACAACTTGGGTTTAAGTTTGAGAACCATTTGAGTTAAAAACCCATTGGAAAATTAAACAAATTTTGGTTTACATTCCTACGCAATCTAAATATGAGAAATGAAATAAAGTGGTATTTCCTATTTTCCCAGCATTATCAAACATGGGAAAAGAATCTTTCATTTTCTATCCCTTAGAAAAACATATGAAAAATTATTTCTCATTAAATCTTTTCCGCGAAGCAAACAGGACCTTAAGATGAGATGAGATGAGAAACAAACCTAACAAAAAATTTGACATATAGAGACCATGAAGATAACGATGATGATGCGGCAAAATATTTTTTTTGCTGGTCATATACCATAGAGAGCATATATATATATTTGCCAAGTAGAGATCATATACATTACCACACATCAAAATTTAACCATATAAACTTATATCTTCTATCTCTGAATTTTTCCATGTTAAGGATGTTCTTATGGTAAGAAAAGTGCTCACATTCTTCTTAGGGAAATGTATATTTCAACGATCGGAACCATCTTTATTTTAAATTATTCTTACAAAAAATCATCTAGATCCAAAGTTGTTTGAGTCATCTAAAACTGAAACGGAAATGGCTAAATAATTTTTTATTTAATTATTCTTCCGTATAGATAATCCTGATAGATAACCTAAAACCTAAACAATTTCGATCAATGGTTTACAATCTAGAATAGAAAATTTCTTATTTTAAGTAAAAACCTCCTTATACCAAAGAAAACATCTACCATCTATATCACCTAATCTAAATACTTTGCACCCGATGTGATTGTGAGGAAAAAAAATCTGTATTAATTACAGGGTAGAGAAAATGACAACAATAATAAATAGAAGCAATATGATCTTTTTGCTATAAAAGCACAAGGAATGCAAATGCCCCAGTCCATCCACATCAGACTCTCCCAGTAATCAAGATTGAAAAACAATGAAGGGATCAAAAGGAATATGGCAGTTGTACTGTGTTGTGTTGTTCCTTGCCTTATCATTTGGTCTAAGTACTCCATGGCGATGGCCGTCGACACCTTTCACAAAGAACTTCGTGCGCATCGTCAACAACCTCAGCAATAACCAAACATTCACATCTCATTGTAAATCCAAGGACAACGATATTGGTCTCCATACCCTCGCTCCTAACGAGCAGTACGAATGGAAATTTCGTGTCAACATGTTCAGTTCAACACTGTACTTTTGCAACTTCTGGTATAAGGACTACCATAACGTTTTTGATGCCTTCAAAGCCAAGTACGAGTTTATTTACGATTGTGGTGGAGCTCATTGCGTATGGAAAGCCAAAGATGATGGGATATACTTGACTCAAGGCCAGACGATGGAAGATAAGAAATGGTATGACTGGAAAAAAGAATGAAATGTCAAAGGGCCGGGTTTTATATGATATGAGGCTTGCTTTAATTGCTTGTACTCAAAATAATAAAACTAGTTTATTTTCTACTTTGATTTCTTCTTGTTTGTTTTTTTTTTTTAAATTTTGTATGTGCAAAAATCATGTTTGGTCGGAAACAACAATTTAGACAGTGATCAAACACTGATTGTACGGTGCTATTTCTTTTATCATTTGACTGGGTTATGTCAAACTTAGGTTTGGTCAACACTCATGTAATATTAATGCTGCTGTTGATGGTATCAGTATTGGCTTTCTTTTGGTTATTGGCTTAATCGCAATTCGTTTGTCATTTTACAATTTAATCAAAACCGAATGAGTTGACCAAATTTAAGACTCTTAAATGATACTGTAAAGTTTTTTTTGGTTTTTTTTTTTAACAATTCAGGAGAGAGAAACTGTGACATGATTATAGGTGGCAATTTTTTTATTTTTTTTTGGAACTGCGGCAATAGATTGCATTCATAATTCAGATTGAAATGTTGTCATTTACCAACAACAAACGAACGAGGTGTACCTCCATTTGTAGCCACACATGGCCTAAGAAATTCAAGCAAAAGAGTCACAAGTCTAGAACAATCAAACGAATACCTCAACTCAACACTCCTAACTACAACTGCAAATACAACTTTATAGTTTGGCTTTCCATAAAGTATATGGAGTCACCTTTTTGACCAACAATATATGGAGTCCTTAAATGACAAAAACAAATTCATTAAACTTTGGCCACATTACAATGTATATCCTTGTAGTCCAAGTCAAATTCCATTTTAGTATTTGTAAAATTGTAATTTCAATTATATCAATCATAAAGGCTATAGCTTAAACAATTGCAATTAAGACAAAAACAATATTTTTGATCAATTGAGTGGCAAAGTGTTGACACTGGACAAACTTTCATCACACTGACATGTGTTGTTATTAATTCTCTCGTGTTATAAGACATCTATCCTTTTATTTATATTATATCATAAGTTCATAAAATATCAATTATATTGTCCACTCATGTTATATTTATTGGAGCTTAAGGTGAAATTTCATTCTATCTTTGTCTCACGTTGTAAAATTACAAGTTTGTCATAGTCTTTATAAGAGTTGCCCTCCTAATTAGTAAGTTGAGTTGGGCCAAGTTGTGGACATGACCTCGGCCGTAACTTTGGATTTGGGCTTAGGCTTATCTTAAATAATATTAATAGGAAATTACAATTTTCAAGTTTTATTTTTTGATTAAAAAAATTAGGTCTTGTTTGATTGATTAAATTCAGGCTCTTTACTTTCACATTAGCTTGAAAATTGAACTAACATAAATAACAACATTAGATATTCTCTAGTGTATTGAGAGGAACACAACAAGATTAGGAATTTAAATAGATGATCGTCGGAAAAACTACAAGCACTGAATAATGGCATGGAATTTTGTCTTTAGGACAATTTAGTAATTTGCAGGCCTTTATCGATTGATCAAGTCTGTTTTGTTCATCTCGTTTATATTAAATTTATGTCTCTATTGCCTTATTATTCATATTTGTTTGAATTATTATTCGGTTTAATAATTATTATATTATTTATAATTTTTTTTAACAATAACTTGTGATTAGTAACACTATGTGAATGAATGTGTGACTGTCACACCTAAAAAGGACATGTATAGGCTATTTTCGTCTTTTCATGCAAGCGCCATGTATTTTAAGGGGATTGCGTATCTAGGAAGTACTTATGTTCATAAGTGCTTTTAATCAAAGTGTTTTTATTATAAAAATCTTAAATTTTCATAAATAAATAAAATTCAAGATTCAAGTGCTTCTTGAAGAAGCATATAGCAGGTGCTCCTCCAGAAAGCGCTTTTATAACTCAAAAACATTTCTACATATTTCAGCCAAATATTGTCAAAATCACTTTTAATTATTCTAGAAACACCCCTAAACATGCCCTAAAATGTTAAAAGCACAGGTTGCTATATATTTCATTCGTTCCAACATAGCTTATGTGGAATGAAATAAAATAAAACGCTAACCGAAATAAACTTGCACGTGAGCACCAAATAAATAGTTTGATAGAATTAAAATTAAGGGACAAAATTGTTTTTTTTTTTTTAAATTATTCCAAACTTAAATTGTAACTTTAGCTTGAACTTTTCCTGACAAATGTTATTATAAGACTATAAACCGGTAGTCGTCTTCCTTATTTTCCTGGAGGCGACCGGTCTTCTTTGATCATACACGCTACTTTCTCACACCACCTAACCACAACTTGTCGTTAATGATTAAAATAAATGAATACCATTATTAAAATCGAGTGCCATAAAACCCCATTTCAATTTTTCAGCTCTTCTGAATCTTTATAAGACTCAAAACGCCACCCTCTCCTCTACTGAGAAAAACAGAGGGAAAAAACGTTGGAGTCGCCATGTCTGAAATAGTCAACGAGGCTTGGAGAAAATATCTCATACAGCTTCAGTCCCACCCTCTCAGAACTAAGGTTTGTTTCAGTTTTTGAATCATACCCAGTTTTTCTTTTCGTTTTGTTTTTCTTACTCTGTCTTCGTAAAGATTTCAATTCAAAGATGAATACTTGGGCCTGTTTTTGAATATTTTGTTGCTTTTTGGTGTATAAGTCATTAAATTTTTTGGTTTGTTTGCTTTGAATTGATGGGTTACTAGGCAATTACATCTGGAGTTTTAGCTGGGTGTAGTGATGCAATAGCCCAGAAGATTTCTGGGATCAAAAAGCTTCAATTGAGAAGACTGCTTCTGATAATGGTATGCCTATTTTGATCATGGTGTTTAAAATTATTGTTTCTTTAACAAATTGCTAAATGGGTTGGATTATATTCTCAATATTGGTCTGAACTTTATAAGAGATTATCAAAATTGGTGTGGCTGCAGAGAAAATGGTGGACAGAACAAGGAACTATATGTGTTGCCTTGTTTCTTATGCAGTTTTGGTTTCCTAGAATATATTCATCTTAGCAACCATTTAATGAATTGAAATTCAAAAAATTTACATTGGCCTTTTCTCAGATAGACTGGTATGCTTATCAGGTTATATATAATTGTGTTATGTCATGATCATGTATATCATGTTGGAATCTGAAGCTTAAATTCGTTTTCAGCTCTATGGGTTCGGATATGGGGGACCATTTGGGCACTTCCTCCACAAATTGATGGATATAATATTCAAGGGAAAGAAGGACAACAAAACTATTGCAAAGAAGGTAATCGTTCTTTGTGAAGTCGATTTTTGTGCTTTCCAACATATAATTCTCATGCTTTGTTCATGCTAATTTTTGAGTCAACTATTGATGAATGAAAATTTCAAATATCAGGTTTTGCTGGAACAATTAACTTCTTCCCCTTGGAACAACATGCTTTTCATGATGTACTATGGCTTGGTGGTTGAAGGTATGCACGTATCTTTGGTATACTCTTAACTGATCTGTCTCTTATTCGATATCTGGTATCCATTAATTTTTGGTCTTTAGTTATAGTAGTATGATGGCTTGGTGGGATTTGATTGCTCTCTTGTCTTTTTTCTTTTATGTTTGTTATTTCTTTGGTTCACCAACTGGGGCAAGAGGATGTCTACTGTGTATACTATTCTTTGAGTCAGTTAGTAGGATATATCAATTCACATTTTTATGGTTTTAGAGCATTTTAAGCTGCAGGGTGTGGACCTCTGTCCTTTTAATTGGATGTTTTTAAGCTGTTATTGTGGTGGGCTTGGGTTTAAAAGGGGGGAAGTCTAAAGTTATAGTTATTGCATAGTTTAGTTTATCATTTAGACAAAAAATTTGTTTTGTTTCTAAAGGTTATTAAACCACCAAACTATTTACTTTAGAGAATCCTGCCTTGAAACCAAGCTCCAATTTATCCATGTTTATGAGTTGTTTTCGTTCCCTTCCACACAGGATGGTGTGAACATTTCAAACGTCAGTTTCGTTCTTAAGAGCAGAGCTGTGCAGCTTGCTTGAAACATCTAGAAGGCATTCCAGTTCTGTAATATGTGTTATCTTGATAGAGTATGTTTGGAATCTGTGTTCAGGCCAAATAGATACTGAAGAAATGATAATGAAATTTTGGTGCTGAAGCTGAATTCATCTTATTCTGCATATTCTTTCTTGGTCTTTATGATTTTTATCCATTATCATATTAAATTCATGCCTTAATATGTTTTGATCTATCATCCAACAAATTACCTCTCTCCTGTCATTTGTTCCTTTGGCAATTTAATACTCTCAAGCATGATGTAAATTACATCTTCGGAAGCTTGACGATTTTGTTGCAATGCTCATGCGGTAGAACTCTGAATCAAGAATCATGATAGTGGACTTGTAACTGATGCATTGCTTTTTTAACTTTGGCATTGCAGGAAGACCATGGAATTTAGTCAAGAGTAAAGTTCGAAAGGACTACCCTTCTATTCAATTGACAGCATGGAAGGTATAAAATATTGGCCATCTTTCATTGTTTTATACTCAAGGCTATCCTTGAAACAAAGATTTGGAAATACTGACTTGATGATGGTTGCAGTTTTGGCCTATTGTTGGTTGGGTGAATTACCAGTATATGCCCCTGCAATTCCGGGTCTTGTTTCACAGCTTCGTTGCCTCGTGCTGGTACGCTGCTATATTTTTTCTCCTTTGTTGCCTCTTTAAAATAAGAAAAAAGGATACTTGTACAACGTTGCCGTATCCACATTGTATTACTGCTTCTCAGATACTCTCCTGTACATATCTAATACGGTATTAGTATTACCTCGTATAGACTATTAAGTAATGATTATAGCTAATGAATGATCATAGAGTTAATACTAACATGAAACCCTAGATTATTTTAAAAGAAAAAGAATATATATATATATATATATCGTTTTGTGGCATATTTTTTACTTGTGTCATAAATATCTAATGCAATTCAGATCATTGTGCAACTAAACCTACTCACTCTTAACTTGCTTATTTCAGGGCAATCTTTCTCAATCTGAAGGCTAGATCGGGTGTAATCAAGCAGGCCTAGAACACCTAATTTTGTTCTTCCCTTTTTCTATGTTTTATTGGAGCTCTTACACATATTTTGTGAAAATGGTTTCCTGATTAGTATCCTTTGTATAAGTTTCTAGCTGAATTAGTACTATGAAGCGGTCGATTTTCTTTCTTACTGCCAGTTCTATCATACGGTTGAATTATTGTAGGATATACTTAAATCTAGTTCAATTTGCAGAAGATCAACAGTGTTTCAGTTGATTTTGTGACATCTTATTTTCCGACTGTTAGATTCCAAAATCTGCAACGCCATCTGATCAAATTTAGATTTACCTTGGAATGGTCAGAGGAAAAAAAAAATTGTGACAATGATTTTTAGAAGCTGGATTGAGCATCTTTCTTCAAATAACTAACAATTTTATTGTAAAGAAAGAAATTGCTAATGTATGTGGGGCCGAAATAGCGTGCTGAGAGACTAGAACACATGAGTTCAAGCAAGCACACAACACGCTTCCGCGTCATCCATGATTTGAACTGTTCAAACATCCATATCTTGACTACTAAACCATGGATTTACACTCCCCTGCCTCCACAGTTGAGGGAGGCTCAACTTTTCTTTGTCTGGTTATGACTTTATACACCACTTCAACAAAAAACTTCATAGTTACTGCGAAGAAAAAAATGACCAAAATATGACGAACAACAATGAAGTAAACGACCAAGGTTAATGATAGTTTATGGTCTTCATGGTTCTTCATAATCTTAATCAAACAAAATGATCCCCATATAGCACCTGTGAAGCAAAAATACATGCAAATTCCCAAAGCTTGAGGCATAGTCAAACATTCCTTCTCCTTGTCCATTTCCATAATATATCAGAGCCCACCTGATGTTCTTTTCACTTTTCCAGTTCTTTGTGGTTACCTGAAAATATATGTGACATGAATATTAAGCAGGGGAAACCAAATTAGGATTTTATAAATTACAATTTTTAATATGTACATATTTTTCTGGATTTTTCATTCAATTGTGGATTTTTGTAATTACCTTGTTAGCATTCATGACAAAATCCAAAACCCACAATCAGAAATGTGGTCCAGTTAAAATGTTATATAACAAGATCATGAAAGTTATTAGATTCAAGTTAATAAATAACCAAAATTAAGATGTGTGCGCTTATATGATTATTGTGGTGAGTTTAAAGCTCTAGTGATAGAGCTCACCATAAGAGTTCAACTCTCGTCCTCCCACTCCTCGAATTTCAAAAAATTGAACAAAGAAATTAAGCGTATATCTTTGGAACAAAACGTCAAATAGTCTTAACAAGTAGCACCTTATGGTAAATTAAAGAACTATAAGGAGGAGAAAAATATATTAAAACCCTCATAGACATGTATCTAACAAGTCAAAATAGTTACAAACTCAAACAGAAAAGAGAATAAACAAATAAGACTCAGCTTTCAAAGTTTTGTTCAATCTTAAATCCAAGGACATCCAAGTCCAAGAAGGTTGAGAAACTTACTTGTATACAGGTAGCTCCTAGTCAAAAGCAAAAAGACCCCCTCTGTCAATTACTCTTTCAAACTGCGAATATATAGAATTCCAAACTAAACTTGAATTGCAATTATATAAGATCGATGAGAGCCAAGATATGGAATTTTGGTGGGAAGTTTGGTTTGATAAACAAATTACTCAAAACGCATTTGATTTGTACATGGGCTCCCACCTCAAATCATGGCCGTTAAAATTTATATATATATATTTTTTTTCTTATTGGGGTTTCCATATGGGCTTTGAGCAAAGATCTAAGGCCAGAATGTGGCTTTGTCAATGTTACTTCACCTTTTTTCTTTGAAAAAATACATTCCATGTGATAATAGCAGTCATTTTGTGTACATTCCATGTGAGAATACTTCTGCGGGGTGTGACGTTTTGCATATTGTAATCAAAAACTTTGACTCATTTAATACCAAATTTTAAGGCCTACCCCCTTTTATAATTTTAATTCCATTAGTTCTTCTTCTTCACAACCCTCAACAAAAAGAAAATTCTTAACAATTATTTTCATAGTTTTTATGCCAATATATCAAGAATTAGTTGTGTCTTCGAATAGTTAGGATTTTTTTTTTAAAGACCTTTCCTATTGAAAGAGGCGTTAATATACTAAACTCACACACACTATACAAATATTAGGACTCAAACTCATAACCTGTCCTGGATGAGCAATTACTCCAAACCACTATACTAGTAGGTCCTTTGCTCAAATAATTAGGATTAGAATACACTATTTATTCTCAAGTAAAACATTTGTACATAAATTAAGTTTATTTTAAAAGAATTAGGGATAAAAATTAAAAATTGCAATTAATTATGAAGCAATACTTAATAACTATGTGTTGTTTGATGAGTACAATGTTAATTATGAATTGTTGACCCCATGAATAATTTTTGGCTACACACTACATCGTTTATTCCTTTTTGTTCTTTTTGAATGAAAGGGTTACGTGCCTCAGTGTTTATCGTTTAGCCTAAAGACAATTCAAAACAAAGAACTAGAGGGGGGCCACGCATGAATTGTTGACTGCTGGTTTTGGAAGTTTGTATAGCCACTGAGATAATGGAGCTTTTCAGAAATTAAATCCAAGTGCAAACTCGTTCATCCGTTCGTCGCTGACTCTCAATGAAGTACTCCAAATCACTTTAGTTTACAGAAAATAAAATTAAACTCGAGTGCAAATGGGGCGAGTATTTTAGTGAACTGAATTAAAGATTAACTAGGACATTTTGTTTTTGGTGAGAGTTTGAAAGGGAAAGGAGACGAGAAAAATGGCCTTGAGATTCGACTATGAGAAAATTGATCTGTAAATGAATCATCTTACCATTGAAATATAGACCTGTTGGCATTAACTTAAGACCTTCTTTTGATAAGACAAGTTGATTTTATCAGGTACTATTCTTTTATCTTTTTTAAGTCTAAGTATGTGTGAGTGGCTGATATCTAAAGTGTTGTAGTACTCTCACATATGGTAAGGTACGAACTTTAGAAAAAGAGAGTAGAATAACTCTACAACGTCCAAAATACAAATCATGAGCTGCGGTCGACATGATTGACGTGGCGGTGTTAATTCATAATGAAAAAGAGTAAGGAGTTGGAGAGAGCTGGTAGAAATTGATGACCGATGGTGGTGATCCTTTATTTGGAACTTCGATCAAAATCAAATGTAAAATCACCTAACTCGTTTGAAATGCAATCTAACCAAAGCACCAAGCTTCAAGCCAGATCATGAGTGTAATGTATAGGGAAATAAACGAGTACTAATATCTTAATCGGTATGTAAAATCAATGTTTATATTGTCAGATTCACAATATGATAAAAAGCATCTTGCACGTTTTCAAACTATCTTGATCAGAACGAAAATACGTACTCTATATATACCACTCATTATACTAGTATGTCAAAATGGAGAAAATTATTGCATAGAGTTGTTGTATACAACTTTCTTCTCAAAAAAATTAGGAACATCATTAACAAGGGGGGGCTGAATATGAGAGAAGTGTTGTATACGGAACCGGCGGCAAGATGTTTTGTGGATGTAGGGTTCATTTATAGAAGTTGTGTCACAAATGACTTACTGTATTAACACAGCTTAATGGGGAAACTTCCTCGAAACTTACACGCAAAAAAAAAAGGTTGTGTGTTGATGGAAGAAAGAAAGCACATGAATTTTCGACAGGAAAACGTCAAGCACAAGGCTTGTTCAGACAAGAATTGCTCTAAAATTTTAGCACAACTCTCTCATTTAACTTCAAGAAGTGGGTTTCCAGACAAGACATTTTCCTTTTAGAGGAAGGTTTTGGTAACAATTCATCCCAATGTTTTAAAAAAAAAATAAATAAAAATTCATTTTTGAGGTTTTTGGGGGCTTGTTTATGACAATACATGTAAAATCTAGGGTTGGGCATTTGCACGAAAAACTGGCCACACTGACTGAACAGAAACGACCACGCCAACTTATCTTCTTTTTCCTTCTTCTCCTCTTCTCCACCGGCACTGCTCATCTCTCTCTCTCTCTCTCTTCCCCCAGATCTGCTCGGGCTTATCATCTAGTTGAATCTTGTCGTTCGGTCCATTCTGCTCTTTTTTCTCCTTATCTCCGCCACTAGTTTCATCTATCTCTATCTCGACTCGAATCTCATTTAAGTCGACTGAATCGAGCTTTCTCGATGAACGAATCACAGTTGATAGAAACTTTGGACGGTTTGGTATTAGATCCCAGAAATGACTCACCTATGAGAGCAGTTCCATTATCGATTCCAGCCAAAAAAGGAACCAAACCGCATCGAGCCCAGACCTAGTAAAATCACCTCACCCTTTTTTTTTTTTTTTTTTTTGTTGGGGCTAATTTGACCATTTATACTATAAATTATATTTAATGGGGACCTCGAGGCCATGATTGTGTGTGCTTTGATTAGCTTCTGTTGAGCATTGCATTTGGTACGTACACACATGACAACCCACAGCTCATGGATCACGTTGTTGATTAGGAAAACTTAGTTTTAAAAATGTGGATTACTAGACTAATCAGAAAATTGGATACGAACACTTATTCATAACATAAAAGACTGAATATAATAAGGAACTAGATTCATAGACAACCTGGTACAAAATAATCCGTCCAATGCTTTAATTATATACCACCTTTATTAGAGAGATTGTACACAAAATGTACAAAAATGTGGTATGTTTAGCATTGCTCATTATACGATTACGATGACTATTTGTCGCATAATTCGAGTTACGGGTGTTACTGATATTTCCTTCTACGCAAGTCCAACCCAGGACCTGAAAACCTTAAGTTATACCAGAAAGCCTAGAAGCTTAATGGCAGGAGCAACTGTAATAAATCTGACTAATCTGCCACCACAACAACCTAACAACTTACCCGATGCCCAAGTGTATTTGTATACATTATACATACGTACCCACATCAAGCAAGCATGCATGCAACGATATATGCAAAACAAAGAACTCACAAACACAGATATATAATTGTCGAAAATCGACTTTAAATATATAGATTAAATAAGCTAATCAACAAGAACAACAGATTAAGCACCGGAATTTCAAATGGCTCCGATCTTCACACAGCAGACATGCATTCTGTCATCTCTCTCTTAATTTCTTCTTCGTCTTCTTCTTCTTCGTCATACTCCTACAAATAAATACAACAAAACATAGAACGCAGACATTATCGTCATCACAAACAGAAGAGAGAGAGAGGGAGAGAGAGAGAGAAATGGTTTTGATCTCACTCGCCGCCTTCACACTCTCTCACACTCGCTTACTCTCTCACTGTTCACGAAATCCTGCGCTTCGTTTTGAATCAGAAACTCAGCCGCTTCTATTTACTATCAACTACTACGCCAACTAGCTGACGTGGACCAAAACCATCCAGCCAATCACCAAGCGCCACGTCCCCAACTTACGCAACAATACAAGGCCCGTTATATATATCCCTGTTGTCACATCTGAATCCACTTCGCCAGTTGCGTCGGGTTCACAATGCCCGGAATGTGGGCCCCATCCGTCTTCAACATGCTCGCCACCTCAGCGTAACTCTCCTGCGCCGCACCCACACCCGAACCTGAGCCCGCCCCGACTTTCCCGGCTTCGACCGGCTTCCCCCTCCTCGGCTCCGCTGACCACCTTCTCAACCGGACCCGCCCCGCCTGAGCCCCGGCCGACGTCTTGCCC